CAGTACTTACAGTTTTATCCATACTAAAAAAAGGAATCGCTTAACTGCACAAAGAGCCGGTAAAACAATGTTCATAGCTCATAACAATAAATTATTACTACAAAAACAAAAAGTGGATATGGAGCATGATATTCAACAACATGAAATTCCTCCAGAACCACTAGAACTCGTGGAGGTAGAGGTCCATCCTTCAGAATCAGAACCAGATGATACATCAAATATATCTGATTTGGAAATAGAAACTGACGAAGACAGTACTACTACTAATATAATATCCTATGAAGATGGGACCAGCTCGGCGCCTGATATTCCGGAATAGAATAATTCAGTTATTTGTGTTTTACGTTTTTTAAATTTATATTTCATGCTTTTTTGTTTTTTTTTTTAAAATTCATAGTCATAGTTCGTGGTTTATGCACAAAATACATATGTTACCAAATGATTTTTGTTATGGGTTATGTTTATGACTTTTATGGGTTATGTATTGTTTATTAAAAATATAACAACTTATATTATGTTTATTGTTTTTTTTCCACTTACATGTTGGTATCAAATGTCTGTCTAATTTATTCTTTTACTGTATCGACAAAAAATATGTAAAATTGTAAATTTCCTAATATTTCATAAATTTCCGAAAGTTTCAGAAATTTCCTGCAACAATCAAAAATTTCTGAAATATTAACATCACTAGTAACACTTGACATCCATATGTACAAAGTTTTAAAAAAAAAAAGTTTTTTTTTAAGTTTAGGTCCTTGGATAGAGGCCTTGCTGTGCCCGTACCCCTGTCTATTTCTCCAGTGGGCATTCTGCTTTTCCCTGATCCAGAGTTTTAGTGCACTATATGTATCTGACGGATGTTACTTATGGTTAGCGAAACCAAAACGATATAAGCATACATTAATTCAGTAAGAAATAAATGTAATTAAATAAATTACTATAACAAAAATCTAGAAAAAAATACAGATCTCATACACACGACATTAATATAGCTTTTATGTCTTTAGACTAAAGCATTCCTCATTTTATATCCTCAGTAACAATTTCTGTCGCAATATAAATAAGTCATTTGCTGTGAGGTAAACAATAATTATGTAAATCAACTTAAGTCATTATATTTAAAATTACAATTTGCTGTTAATGACATGCCTATAGATAGAAAAAGAATCCATGATTTTAATTTGACAAGTTTTCACATATTGCCAACTGTCAATTTCATATATTTACGTCCACTTTCACGAAACTAAGAAGTGAAATTCTATTTTTTTGCTTTCTTAAAGGTATAGTATGTAAATGAATAAAAATTCATTTTTGTCCCGATATTTACTGTCTATCGAAAAATCAAATTTTCAAACAAAAATTCGCGAGAAAACTTCATAGAGGTGTTTCTGAAAAATATTTGCACATATTTAAGACTCACCCTGTATAACTAGACTGAATCTATCCATCGGGTTCATATATTAAAATAAATAAAAATAACTTATGGTTTGCTTATGGAAACTTTAAAGAGGGCAATGACATCGGAAATTAACATTAATGGATACCTAGTAAAATATTAGGTAAATATTAAATTTTATCAACAAGCCAGTACATTTTAATTATACGTAATTTAATATTTGCTAATTATATTTATCACCTTGTTAGCGTTTTTTTTTAAGAATATTATATTTAAGAGGACTTATTAGCATACCTATATCCCCTTTCCACTAAATTATTTGACTTTTTAGTATCTCCTTCCAAATTAAAAATGAAACTTTCTATCTGTCAATTATACGGGGGAAAACAAAATGTTGACATTTTGATGAAAGTTTTAAACACCCTGTGGAATATGTTAACGAAGCAAATAATTTAAAAATCATCTTTAATTTAAAAAGAGATACTAAAAAGTAAAGTAATTTAGCTACAAATTGCTTAAAAAATCGTTAAAATCGGTACACTAGAATACAATATACCGAGTGTTGCATCGTCGACCGGGACATAGGAAATCCCATGAAAATTTTAATGGGGTCAATTATTGGTTTCCCTAATTATTTTAGAGAATAATTCTATTTAGGTTTATTGAAGAGCACTAAAACCCACATTCAAAAGAATAACTTTAGATATTTTGAGTTATCGCCGATTTCTTTTTAAATATTTCTCCTTTCTTATGGCCCTGTATTACTTGGCCTACTATTATTACTTATGAGCACCAGTCAAGGTAAAAGATAACTGTCAGATGAAGTTGTCATTTCAGAAATTTATCTATTTAGTAATTTATTATTATTATTAAAAACTCATACCTATATCGAAAATATTAGCCATGAATTACACTACCGAAGAAAAAGTATTGATGATTAAATGGTATTATCAAGGAAATAGTTCTCAAAAGGTGTCGGACATGTTTGCTGCTCTGTATCCGAATAGTACCTGGAATATCTACAATCGCAAGGAATATCCAGAGATTTGAGACCAAAGGTACCCTAATAACTATCTGCAGATGTGAAGCAAGGCAGGAACAAAGAGAAGATGCAAGAAATGCTACCGACTTGGAAGTTTTATTGTGCGTGGAAGAGGTACGATGGAAAGATCCGCACAAGGAAACTTGAGGATGAAATAGGAATATATCACACTACAGCGTTTCGAATTTTGAAACGACATAAATTCTAATCCTTCAAATATGAAAAGCACCAAGAACTACGTGATGGGGACGAAATACGGCGACAGGCGTTTTGTTTTGATATGATGGAAAGAGCAAACACGGATAGGGAATTTTTAAAAAACATATGTTTCACTGACGAATGCACGTTTACCTTAAATAATGAACCCAAAGTTCAAAATTATCAATATTGGAACAAAGAAAACCAACACAGGTTTGTCGAAACAAGGACGCAATATCCACAGAAAGTAAATGTTTGGGCAGGGATGGATATTCGGACACAATATTATCGGGCCATTATTTCTTACGCGAAATTTAAATGCAGAATAATATTTGGAACTACTCGAAAATCATATTTTACCTGCTTTACATGATGCCGCTAGGGAAAATCAGGAAGTTTGGTATCAAATGGATGGTTGCCCGGCACATAGTACCCTGGCTGTTCGGGAATATTTAAACAATAGTTTTAACGGAAACGTTATTGGCCTAAATCATACAGTAAATTGGCCAGCAAGGTCTCCTGATATTTCGCCAAATGATTTTTTTTCTCTGGGGCCATTTAAAAAACAGGATATACAAGGATAAAAAATACCCAAATCTAGACGAGTTAAAAAGATTTAAAACTATTTCTGCCGAATGCAATAGAATTTCAGTTTACCAACTAATGAATGTAAGAAGAGAATTTTATGATCGCCTGGGTTATTGTCTAGCAGTCAGTGGAGGAATATTTGAACATCTTCTTAAATCCTAAAGTTCTAACAATTTAATAGTACCTAAATTAATAAGTTATTGAATATTGTAATAATACTATAATTAACCTTGTAATTGATTACTTTATTTTACTTTAATTCATATTAATTTGTATTTATAAATACATTTTTAAGATTTCCGATGTAGGAATGAGTTTTCAATAATAATAAAGCACTAAATCGGTAAATTTCTGAAATGACAACTTCATTTGACAGTTATCTTTTACCTTGACTGGTGCTCATAAGTAAATACAGGGCCATAAGAAAGGAGAAATCTTTAAAAACAAATCGGCGATAACTCGTAAACGAGCTAATCAAAGATATCTAAAGTTATTCTTTTGATTGTGGGTTTCAGTGCTCTTCAATAAACCTAAATAGAATTATACTCTAAAATAATTAGGGAAGCCAATAATTGACCCCATTAAAATTTACATGGGATTTCCTATGTCCCGTCCGACGATGCAACACCCGGTATAACATTTTAAAATATAGGGAAATTAAAATAACTTTGGTTGAACATCATAATAGGACCACCAGCAAACTCCGTAAGACGACGCATGGTGTCATTGACGACGTGCACCCAAAGTTGTTTTAATTTCCCTACATAAATTTTAATAATTAAATTATTATTTATTTATTTTATTATTTTTTTAATTTTTTTTTATTTATTTTTTTTATTTTTTTTTCTATACATGAACATTTTAAGGTACCCGTTCTTCGTGCTGGTGAGTGTATTTATTAAATAAAAATGTGAAAAAACTTTAAGGAAATGTTTCATTCAGTACATACAAAGTATTTTCAATTCTCTTGGTATATTTTAATAGCATAGACAACAGTTTTTCTCCTTGGTAATTTATTCAAACAGTTCAAGACCGAACAAAAGCCACATTTCAATTATAAAATAAAATTAACGTCGAATATGTATAACAACTTACGCAAAACCTATCAGGAAGTAAAACAAACAAAGTTACTACAATGATAAAGCATTGGTTTGCTCCTTTATTAACTGTATATTACAAGGATAAAATTAACACTAAAAAATGCGATTCGAAGTGACAAAAAATAGACGTGAAAAAATAAATAGATTAAATATAAGTATAGTAATATACTAAAATCGACAACTTATCCAACAGCAAAGAATAAATAAATAAATATCCAGAATACGTGCAAACAATAAATCTACTTACACTAAAAGAGTCAAAATTATTTGAATTTCTTTTAGATAGTAGTATATTATTTAACGATAAAACTTTCTTTGCGTTGAATAAGTAAATAATTAGTAAAGTATAAAATTAAAATGAAATTAGAAATCTTAATTAAAACAATAATACGCAATAAAAATCAGATCAAAGTGAAACTTGCCTTGTAAGAAGCCAAACAAAAGTACGAAACAGCTTTAGAACAAGCTACATTACTTCCTTAAAGAAAACCTTAAGTTTTACAGTTATTAACTTTTCATAAACGAGAAATCAATATTTAATGTAATTTGTTTAACCAAAAAGCAATTAATATAACTGCAATGTAAAATTACATTTAATATTATTATATATTAAAAATGTTTATAAACAATAAAAAACAGCGTTTCGTCCAAGTGAAAGTTAAGATGTTTATAAAATAAAAAGTATATAAAGATGAAAGTAATAAAATAATTAACAAGAAAAATTATGTTTCTGCTAAAAAATTACAATAAAATGCGATAGATAAGTAATAAATCATTGAAAAGTGAAAATTAAAATCATTTCTATAATAATTACTGGTATTTTTTATATTATATACTTATAATATCTATAATATGTAACTTTCACTGATAGAAATTTGAAATAAATATTTTTCAGTGTTTCAGTACGACTTTATACCGGAAAGATACAGAAATGAACCAGCTACGAAGGTATAGACGTTACTTGGAATGAACAGGTTCAACGTAAACATTAAATGAAACTTAATCAGAAGCCCTGCTGTTTTGGAGAACACCCAACTCGAAGATCAACTTTCTTGAGTAATTATTTTCAACGAGTTCTGATTGAAGGATAATGATGCCCCCCCCCCCCCAATGTAATTTTACTTGAAATGTTTATAAAAACATTATTTTGATTCTAATATAGAAACATTATATTCCTCTTTAATATAAGTGTTACGTATTTGACATATTAACTTTCACTTTCTGAATTAAAACTGATATATTTTGTTATGAAGTGCAGGATACCATGATAAAACCAACCAAAAATCTTTTGGACCTGTGGTCACTTAGGTGCAGTCAACGACCTCTTGCTCGGCATACCAAAATACCCTGTCGTAAATAAGAATAACGAGTACAAGAAGTAAAAAAGCTTTTGAGTTTGTACAGGTAAAAAACGATTTAAGAGTTAAAAACTGTCCAAAGGGTCTTAACTTTAATAATTATATACATAGAATAAGCAACGAAGAAAACGATCGAAAACACAACTATGAAACGTTGTTATTATGTAACACACCTTGGAATGATCGATTCTTGCACAAGTTAAAATGACCTCTAAATTCTAATCTGAAGTACCTTTCACCTACAATGAGGTAAAGAATAATTTTATTCACTTGACTATGCAAACGGAAAATATTACAATAAAAAATCTTTAGTTAACCGCATGCTAATTAAAAATGAATAAGGTAGGGCGTCACACTATACAACCAAATAACCATTTTTATACAAAACAACAAATTTCACGTGGTGTCGCACTCAGATTTTTTTGTACTTTTATTATCGACCGCACTGTTCAGCCAAAACTTAATTTCTAAGTCTCTATGTCCATTCAACGAGGTCACGATCTCTGTTGATACTTCCAAATCGCCGGTGGAACTGGACGAACTATTTAACGAAGACGACGATGATCTCGAATAGGACGGTTTATATTTATCTTCAACCAAAGACATCGAAGAAAAACTATGAACGAGACTATCATCCGAAGTTTGAGGAGGAAAGCTGCTAAACAAACTAGGAAACTGGAAGGCTTTGGGCGGTGTAAGGAACGGAGAATAACAGTTCCTATCCACGTCCCATATCTGACCTTCTGGATCACAATAACGACACTGGCACGTGCTGGCTGGTTGGTTACCGTTCACATCCTTAACTTCTTCGACGTCCTCGAAAGTGTGATGCAACTTGGGCGTTTCCGAAATGTCGTTGAGTAAGTCCAGCAAAGGTTTGTTATCGTCAACTACTGGCTGTTGATAGGAGATCGGTTCGAAGTACGACAGAAACGGAGATAAACTGGCAAATGACACGGCTTCGAAATCCTGGTTGTCGCCGTCTATTGAGAAACTATCCTGGTTTTGAGAGCGGGTCAAATGAGGCGGTTTCCTATCCTTTTTTCGACGCTTGCGAGGTTTGATGATCCGCGGTAAACAGGTGTCTAAATTTTGCGAGCCCGAACTCTCGTCACTGGTCACACTAATAGCGTCCACACCTTTCACATTCACGTTGCCCGACTCTTGTATTTTGTTTAGTTTCTTGTTCGAATTTTCGAAAACTTTAGTTTGTTGCACATTGACGTTATTATTATAGTTATGTCTTTGCGGTTTACTTTTACGGTGGTTGTAACTTTTTGTAAGAATCAGGGGAGCTCCTTGGGTATGTACTGCTAACCTGGCCAGGTGATGGTTTGGTGGTATATCTTCGTGTTCCTGCAAGTTGCCTCTCCGAGGGTGCCTGGCGAAGGAAATGAGGGGCACCCCACCGGCCCACCCATCTGCCGGCGGACAGCCTTGTAGATTTACATATCCGTTTCGGGGAAACACTTGGGCTCTTTGAAAAAATTCCCCATTTTTCAGGGGTTTTTTCGATCGATTCTGTGAGATCAAACAAGCACCGATATACCGCTCCACTTCTAAGGCGCCAGCGGACGCGGGACTCATGGTACGCGCCGTTGCGATCGCATGCCGGTTAAGAGTACCGTACCGTGGTGGTTCTGCCGGTACAATTGCCTTTCGACGGCGTACTGGTCGGGGGCTTAGCCGTCGCGAGCTCCGCTTCCAGCGGTGGACCCCACCACAACACTGCACTAACCTACTTCTAAAAGTCGAGACTTAAACAAAGAGACTACTACAACCACCCACACAAGTAGGTCAATAAATCCAAACGGAGAAAAATTATGCAGATGTTCCTCTTCGCGAAACTCAAATCCTTCTCGATTATCTTTTACCGTTATTTATTTGATATGGTGAAAGTGAAATCATATTGTCATTTTTATTAATAGCATGTACCTATTCTATTTTAAGCGATAAAAAGTAGGTATTCGTTGGTAAAGAAAGTGTTTTACCATTATTGTAGAATAAGTAAAAAAATTTAATAGATGAATCGAAAAATTATACATATTAGAGAAATGTCGAGGTATTTGTAGAATGTAGAATGTTTAGGAGGGGAGTTAATCACCGCGACTTTACAGATCCATTGTGTGTTCCCCTTTCTTGAGTTATAACGAGTTATAACTCATCATACAGTCTCAGGGCTTTAACAAAAGCCAGTATGAGAGACGGCTCCACAGAGGTCAGCTCTCCATCGTCGACATCAGCCGTACCAAAGTTCATGGCACGAATGGTCGTCCTCTCGGCGCACTCAGTGATAAGGTGTTCTGGTGTTTCCCCATTTTCACCACAGAATCTGCATTCGCCGTTGTTTCACAGCTTCAGCCTACTGAGGTGTTCGTTGCGGAGACAGTGTCCTGTTAGAAACCCCGTGACAATCCGAAGATTTTTTTTACTTAAATCAAGCAAAACCTTTGATTTTTCTCGGTCGTAAGTTCTGAGGAACTTTTTCGAGTGTCTTAGACCGTTGGAGGACACCCGTTCCAGGTTACGGATGGAGTCTTCCAGATTCTTCAGTTCCGGTTTCAGTTAGTTCCCGCTTGGAAAACAGAACGGTTTCTGGTCCAGTTAGTGGAGTGTTCGCTCCTTTTCTAGCTAGATCATTTACTTTTTCATTGCCTTATATCCCTTGGTGAGCAGGCACCCGTGGTAGGAGGACTTTATGTTCTGTGCCTAATTTGTTGAGCTTCTCTAGGCATTCTTTGACTAACTTCGAATTGATGGTTACTGAGTTGATCGTGTTTAGCGCTGCTTGACTAATCCCATAGTATCGCAATTTCCTGTTTTCGATAGTTCCTATCTAGGATAAATTGTACACCTCTTTCGGGGTAGGTGCCCATTGGTTCGGGGTATTTAGTTTTCGGCCCAAATGTCGAAGTATTTAACATGAAAGTCTTATACCTATTTATAAAATAGATCTTTATCAATAGCTGAACCGTCTAAAAATACCGAAATTACCGTCAGAGTGTAAAGGGTGAAAACTTAGTCATTAGAATACACAAATATCTGGTGCTGAATCCAAAAAGGAAAAGCAAGTGAATGGCGAGTTCCACCAAAACCAAACTCAGCCTAAAACTACAAAAACAGGCAGCCTTGATGACACAACACATGAGGACAACAAAGATTTTCCTTCAGTTTCTTTTCTTGGAGATAAAATGCTCTTCTATATCACACATGGGCCAGAATGAATAGAAATTGATGTTGGAAAGACTCTGCAGCTCTCTGAGGTTCTGTATAGCTACCATCTTTTCACCTCAAAAATAGAGCTGAGTAGAAAAAATGAATCCTGCCCTATGAATAATTAAGATGAATGATAGCATGTAATATGCATCTAGGCGTACAAAGTGTACAAATCCGGCCTACTATGCGGCCTACTAACAGCAGATAAAACACTAATTCACCACAATACACCAAATCACTTTACTTCAAACATGAACGCGCGTTTCACTAACCATGTTAGCATCATCAGATGATTAAAACTGTAGCTTTGATGATCAATCACATACAAAATTACATACAAAAATTATCTATAATATTCTCTTTAAAAAACTTAAATTATTTCCAATAAACTTACTGATATATTAATTTGCTATTACCGTCACGCACACGATATGGTGAAAGTGAACCTACGTTATTGAAATTCTCAATTATTCTACCGATAAAAACACTTGTTTTTGAATAAAGCGCCTTTTCAGTTTTTGTAGAATATTTTTAATAGCTGATATTAAACAGAAAAACTACACCATTAGATAATGAAATACAGAGTGCAAGTTGATAAAGTTTAAGTATACTCTTTTGCCTTTGTGAGCAGTACTAACTTTTGTACTTGCATACATTATCATACACATGACATTAGAATTGGATTTTTTTAATAGAAGATGTTCGAGCATTTCATTAGTTACTACACCCATTTTCGTTTTGGCATTATTGAATCTATGTTATATTGTAGTGTTTTTAGTTAATAAAGAGTAAAAAAATGAATGCTTAATTTTATTGTAGCCAATTTATCTGCTGCATATGCAATTAGCATGGCCTAAAGTCTCTCCAACGAGACAGAGAAGATTTCGACAGATCACATCTATGAAACTATGAACCCTTCCCGGACACAAACGGTACATTGTGAGACAGGAAATTGTAGAGAGAAACAAGCCCTATAACACAGGATACAACATTTTTATGAACAATGCTTTCCATAAAATCAATAAAATGAAAAATATACGAAATAATATACATGTACTGATTTTTTTCGAAAATCGACAACTATGAAACTATGAACCCCTCCCGGATACAAACGGTTCATTGTGAGACAGGAAATTGTAGAGAGAAACAAGCCCTATAACATAGGATAGAACATTTTAATGAACAGTGCTTTCCATTAAATCAATAAAATGAAAAATATACGAAATAATATACATGTACTGATTTCTTTCGAAAATCGACAACTATGAAACTATGAACCCTTCCCGGACACAAACGGTACATTGTGAAACAGGAAATTGTAGAGAGAAACAAGCCCAAAAACATAGGATACAACATTTTAATGAACAGTGCTTTCCATAAAATCAATAAAATGAAAAATATACGAAATAATATACATGTACTGATTTCTTTCGAAAATCGACAACTATGAACCCTTCCCGGACACAAACGGTACATTGTGAGACAGGAAATTGTAGAGAGAAACAAGCCCTATAACACAGGATACAGCATTTTAATGAAGAGTGCTTTCCATAAAATCAATAAAATGAAAAATATACGAAATAATATACATGTACTGATTCCTTTCGAAAATCGACAACTATGAAACTATTATCCCTTCCCGGACACAAACGGTACATTGTGAAATAGGAAATTGTAGAGAGAAACAAGCCCTATAACATAGGATACAACAACAGTGCTTTCCATAAAATCAATAAAATGAAAAATGTACGAAATAATATACATGTACTGATTTCTTTCGAAAATCGACAACTATGAAACTATGAACCCTTCCCGGACACAAACGGTACATTGTGAAACAGGAAATTGTAGAGAGAAACAAGCCCTATAACATAGGATACAACATTTTAATGAACGGTGCTTTCCATAAAATCAATAAAATGAAAAATATACGAAATATTTTTAAATTTCAAATTTTCAAAAAAATATTTTGGCGAAAAAAATTAACGTCGTGTTTCTGGGGTCAAAATATACTACCACCAGATGAGCACTTTTAAACAATGTTAGTATTTATGTGACATAGTAACGGTTAAAATATTTAACAAAGTTAAGTTATTTTTACGGTTAGATTTCCGGTATATTTTTTTCAAATTCCGACCAGACCTCCCAGGACACCTTAAAACCAATGGAAACCCTAATTATAACACGTGTTAACATTTAGTTACAATAAAAAAAACAAACTACCAAGAGCGTTTAAAAAATTCTATGAAATGCTAATAAGTACTCTCTCTTAAAATTTATAGCTAATTAACGCAACACTGTGACATTTGAAAGTGATTCCATTAAACTTACTTTGATCGAGCGCACGCTATTTAATTGCTATTCTGAGACGAGAATTTGTTATAAAATCCAGGCCAATTAATTAAAGAATCTTAATCGTATGAATTATTATCCAAGGGCATAATTAAATATTATCGCAATTTCATCATTTCAACGGTTGATAAATCTAAAATATTATGGATATACAGTATGTCCCCGGATTGTTTGTACTAGAGGAAAAACTTTTTTATTGTTGACGCTATGGAAATTTGCAAAAGTATATACGGGATTAACCATTTAAAAACGAGCAAAAATTGTTATGAAGAATGGATTTTTCTCAAAATGTCAAAAAATAATAAAGAAGTTTTTCCTCTTGTAAGGACAATCCGGGGACATGCTGTATAAAATTTAAAATAATTTTAAAAAAATATATTAATCAAAAAATAATAAATATAAGTAGAATATTAAGAAATTAAAGATTCCTAAGTTTAGAGGTTCTTTTGAAAATAAGTCCGTAAAAATCCCGTAAAATCTATAATTTTCATTCAAGAGATGATTAAAAAGGTAAAAAAAGAAACAATCGCAGGTAGAAAATATCCTATTAACTCATTACTTCAACGTACCGATTTAAAAACTAATGAAGACATTTAAAAAAGAAAACCAAATTAAAAAGTAAAATATAAAAAAAACTAGTCATTTTCAAACACCTTTAATAGATGTTCGTAAGCTTTTAAATGGTTAGCTATTTGTACATTCTTTCCCTTGAGCATTTCTCATTATATTTTATGTCTATATCTTCGTGGTAAAAGTTAATTTTTGTAAACATCGCTGCGTTGAATCCAAACGGAAACTAGCTTGGGAGTGATTTTCTACTAGTAAAATAAAGGGTATAATAGCCGGATTAATATAGGAAATCTGCCCCCACGTTTTTTAATGTTAATTTTAATTCACCTAAATTTTTAGCTCTTTAACTCAAACGGTTTACGAGATTTCCAAAAAAACTGTTTTTTCAATTTTATTTTTATTTTTAATTGACATTTAATGATGATTTTTTCTGAGACATAAAAAAATAAAATGATCATGATTCTTAAACGAAAAGCCGATTTTTAGCGGAGGAAAGAAAATTAAAATCTTCATTTTTTTTAACCTTTTTGAAATATGTCACTCACTAAAAATCGTCAGAAAAAGTCTTTTATACTCCTTC